ATAAAAAAAATTCTCTTCCTTATTATTAAATAAATTTCCAAAAATAAAAAGCCCTTTAAGGGGATCCTAAAGTAAAATGAATTCTGATGAAATCGCTGTTTTATCAATAAAATGCAACGCACCAATACATTTCTGTATAGAGTTGGGAACTAGTTACTTGTAATTAAGTTATAGTTAGAATAACTTTTTTTTTAGTTTTAATTTAATTTTATTCCTTTTTTCCAGCTGTAACTGTAATTTAATTTACATTACTTAAGTTATATTATTTTTAGTAACTAGTAACTATTTTGAGCTACTCTTACAATTATATACTTTTATATTTTAAATTTGTTAATTTAATATAATTAGAATCTGAATATATAGTTACGCTACTGCCACTATTGGTTGTATAAAAGACAAAGGCCGAGTTAAGAAAATAGTAATTTAATTTGGCTTAATGTCTATTGATTCTCAGCGTAACTTCCAAGCTGCAGACACTGTATATATTAATGCGTGGGTATATTTTAATTCTGAAGAAGGATTTCCATCTGTAAAAGTAATATATGCGATATCGTTCTATGGAAATTATTACGTTCAATTAAAATAGACGACCTTAAGATCCCCTTAAATTCTTTTACATTACTATATTTTGATCTCTCATTCATATTTTGTATTTTAACTTCTAGAATAAAGATAATTTTCTTGTTAAATTAAGATATACACATATGTATAAAAAATGGTTCTTATATTCATGAAAATTTCATGATGATAATCGCAGAGAGTAAACGAGAATGTGGAGGGTAATCTGATACTGTCTCCTGCTAGTGCGAAAATCGCCCTTACGAGTCTGGTCGAAGGCACGGGTGGTCGAACACGTCACGAGCTTCTTGCAGCTCTGAGATTACCAGCAGAAGAATATATTATAAGGAGAATAGCGGAACGCTCTCTTATACCTCTAAAAGTATATTAGATATACCTTTATTTAAACTTTATTCAAACATCGATAATTGAAATCGGTAATTTCGATATTGTAAATTAAATGATTATTTATTCACGATAACAGAATAAATCAATTTTGAATTTGCATAGAAAATTTATCAAAATTATACCGATCGGTGCGTCTTTTATTTCCGTCAAAAATTTGTGTGACTTTTCTTTTTTCACGTTATTTTCCAGAGCCAACAAAATGGCACGGAAATCGATGTAGCAACTCGTTTGTGGATCAATCCGGCTCTTGCAGCATCTAATAATTATATGACCGCCTTAAAAACTTATTATGGAACTGATATCCAACAGCTGAATTTCGGGAATACAAATAATGCGGCCAATATCATCAATTCCTGGGTTCGCGAGAACACGCGGAATAACATCAAGACGATCATTCAGCCTGGTATTTAATTTAAGTTCTGTTAAATATAAGGTAAATGTTCACTTTAGGGGATGCTCCTCCGATGACATTGACCTTGATGTATGTTGTCAAGATCATAAATCCTGAATGAACATTTATCGAATATGGCAGAAGATACTCCCTCCTCCTCCTTCCAAACCAGTAATTCGAGCTACGATTTTTTTTCGAAGAAACGTTTTCTTCAGTTTCGAAGCTAATAATTCTTTCAATTTAATTGCATTTTATAAACGTTGTTTCAGACACTCTTAGCGCCGATACTCAGATGGTGCTAACTTCGTCCTTGTATTTCAAAGGACGATGGTTGAAATCCTTCGATAAGGACGTTACGCGTGTACGGTGCTTCTATGTTCCTCAAAATGGTTGTCAAGATATTCTTATGATGGAAAACTCTTCGAAGTATCGATATGGTAATATAGCTTCTCTTGATGCTGATGTGGTAGAAATCCCGTACTCGGTAAGATTCTTAATCATCTATAAGTTAATATTTTGATTAATGCTTTGACATCTATATGAAGAAGAAGAACTATATTCACGCACTGAATATAGTTCAATGTATATTAACCCTTATGCACCAACTGCGTACCTCAAGCAACGCTACATATAATTATTATTTAGGCAACTTTTTGCTTTTAAACTATAGTAATCTGATAATTAGTTTTTTAATATTTTCGTAAAAAAAAAATTAATTATTCTACTCAAAAATGTTGTATTTCTGATTCCAAGTTTGACTCAACAGTAAAAACATCCTAAACTTTATTTCTATTCGTTTCCCGAGAAATGAGAATTTGAATAAGAAAGAAAATGAATTCGGTTTGTGAATCGCTTAGAGTAAGTAGTTATTTTTGGTACTACATTAAAATTAACTCGAACAATGAAGATTAATAGCATTCAGTATGATTTAATTCCATATTAATTGTTCATCAGTTTTTAATATAAAATTTCCGTATTTATAATAAAAATGCAAACAGTTTCAATGTGTTTGTATTTTTGTATTTTAAAATTTGTATTTTTCCTTTCCAGTTTTGCAATTAGAAAAAAAATTTCTGATAGATTGATCTTCAGCTATATGAATACAAAAAAAGTTGAGATATCTACATAAACTTAGGATTATTAAGGGGATCCTAAGATGATTCAATCATATTGTAAATAATATTTATACACACAGATGATTTACGAGTCATACATATCATTTTAAGCTTGTTTTATGCAATTTAAAATTTGCATAAAAAGACTTTTAGAGGCATATATTTTTAGATGTATTAAACGTTTATTGCATATTATTGGGTAATTGTAGCAATAATAATATATCCATTTTTTACAAATAATCTTTAAATAAATTTTTATAAGATTTTTTAGGTTTTGTTTTTGTAATGATATATTTGAATAATTATGTTGATTTCATATTCATTTTTGAACAGTTAATTTTTAAATAAATATGTATTTTTTAATTTTCGATGTATACTTTTGAATTTACGCATTTACGTACGTAGCATATCTTTATTTTACTTTTGTAAAATCTTATTTTATAGGATTTGTTTATACATATAGTTGTTATTTATTCATTTTGTGATAATGTTTTATACGAAAATTATTGCAGATCAATCATCGTCAAAGTAATTTGTTATTTTTATTTAAAGGAAAAAAAATAAAAATCAATGAATTTTACATAATATTCTAAGAAATATAATAAAGCGTAAAATTTATTTTTATTTATTATAGAGAAAATTTTATTTTTTTAAAATCTTTTTGAATGAAGATGTTAAAATAAATATCTCAGAAATTTAATATTTAAATTTTTATTTTTAAGAATAAAATCATGTGAAACTGTCATAAAATTAATATTTCAGAACGGTAGGACATCTATGCTGATATTCCTTCCGTCTCATAAAGAGAGCGATCCGTACCTACAGATTCTGTTCAAAGATCTGTCATATGTACCGATGAAAACGCTACTCACTAGTCTCAACGAAACTGAATTGATACTTGCTATTCCGAAATTTAATATCGAGAGTAAATTAGATTTGCGTTCACCCTTAATGCGCGTAAGTATTAATTTATATATGTTTAATTATATTTAATATACATAAGATTTTACTGTATTGTAATATACATAAGACTTTACTATACTGTACAGGTCTCATTACTGACGATAAATATTTTAAAAATATATTCTTTGTGTAACATTTTAAGATGAAAAATTTAATATTAAAAGTCGAGCTAGAATTATAAAAGGAATTCAGCTTTTTTCACTACATATTTAAAAAATTTTTATACGTTAGATTTTCCTGTTATCTAGACAGTCCTAAATAAGGTTGAAAAACTGTTCGATGAACTTGTAGTGGTTTATTAGTTAATATTATACATTATAAAAATTTGTACTCCAAGTACTCTTATCTATATCCTGCTTACTTTTATATTTCATATTATTAATATTAATAATTTGTTAACATATATCACTTACAATATGATTAAAAAATTATTTTGTTTAATGTTTGCAAAAAAAAATGTAAGAAAAAAAAGCATCTTTATTTCTTTATAATCAATTATATCAAAATTGCATTTTTAAAAATTAATATTGCAAAATTTTAATTGAAAATGAATTTATTTTCTGGAAAACTTTCTCTTTCGAGTTGTGTCATAGCAATGGGCGATACAATTTAAACAATTTTTATCTATTTTTTATAATCGCGTTACAATTATAATTCTTATTAATATAATTCATTGCAGTAGTTAATATTATTCTTATTATTATAAATATCATTAACAGTACTATGTATCAAAAGAGTTGAATAAAACCAAGAAATATGATCTGTTTCAGATGGGTATACAGGATATTTTTAGTTCTGCAGCAAATTTCACTGGAATCGTGTTTAATAAATACTTGCAATTAGCAAATATTATTCAAAATGTTAAGATAGAAGTGGATGAAGAAGGAACCATTGCTGCTGCAGTAACAGGTAATTATCAATAATTTATGACTCCTTCCAATAAATTGTAACTTACGAATTGCTAATGCTCATTAAATTGCAGAACTTGCAGTTGTACCACTTATGGCTAACATGGTTTCAACTTTCATAGTAAATAGACCATTTATGTTTGCCATCGTTGATCTGGTAACAAGTGAGACTCTTTTCGCTGGTCGTTTCATGGGTCCTAATGCAGACAACTCTAAAGGCACTATTTAAAAGAAAAGCTCAATATTCATCTACAATCAGTTTTGTACTTAAAAAAAGCTTAAAATATAAAGGACTTACATATAATGATGCTGTTTACAACAAAAATGACGTTTCTGTTATAACTATAGAAGAATTGTTTATTCCTTTCTGTATGATACATATAAATGATAAATTGAAATAAATATATGTATATCGATTCGTATC